TCAACTCCCAGAATTCCCCAGCCAGCCATGAAGTCCACTCATCTTAAAGTGGCCAAGTTTGAACAACACTGCTTTAAGCTCTTTTCAAAAACAACTTCTTCCATGAATTCTTTTGCTCCTAGCCACACTCGCTAATCACTCTCATACCTTTCCTACAGAAACTGCAGTGCAGGATGGAGAGGTACATCAGATCATGGAAGAATCTGTGGCCTTAGGTCAACACTTTCCACAGTTCCAGGCAAGCAGACTAAAAGCCAATATATTCCACTTTCAAAGTTGTAGCACTTCCCTTTCTTTTTACCTGGACTTTGGTAGGCTTTAATTTATGGTCCATGGTATCAGCAGTGACATTTTCAGGCAATGTCACAGGATCCCTTGGAAGAAACAGACAGGAAGGTATGCATGCAGCCCCTGGAACAGAAAAGAGAGAGGTAGCAGATTATAATTTCCACTGAGAGATATTTAGATGCCATGGACTTCCATGAGGATTTGCATGATCTCCAATTTGAGAACACAAAACAATATATCGTTCTTGTACATATGAGACTTCATTCATCAACTTGTTTGTGAGAATCTTTGATTTAAAAAAAAAGAGGGAGAGAAAATCTAGATCACGTGATTGGGGCTTACATGACATCCCAGGGCTTAGGATGCTATTTTTTTCCCCTCCACCTCCACACAACAGTTATTAGTTGTACAGGTTTTGTTGTTGTTGTTGTTGTTCAGTCGTTAAGTCGTGTCCGACTCTTCATGACCCCATGAACCATATCACGCCAGACTTTCCTGTCCTTCACTGCCTCTCTGCTATTTGTTTAACGACAGATCCAAGTTACAACAGCCTTGGAAAAAGTGCTTTACAACCTGTATTCACACTTATCACCATCGTAAACCATCACCCCACCCCTGCAGTCATGTGATCGCGATTTGCAACCTTTTTCACAATGGTCGTTAAGCGAATCATGTTAAGTGAATCACATGGTCGTTAAGCAAATTCTGGCAAAAAAGCCCATTGGGGAAGTGGATTCGCCTACAAGCCACGTGATTTGCTTAACGACTGTCATAAATATGGTTGTAAAATCAGGTCCAGTCATGTGGTGACTTACTTAATGACCACTCCACTTAATGACCATTTTTCAGGTCCCTATTGTGGTAGTTAAGCAAGGATTTCCTGTAACTGAAGTCCCCCTTGCCCCATTGCTCCCTGTTTCTCTTGCCTCCTACAATTTTGTTTCCATTTTTACATTTGACAGTCTGGAAGAAATAAATATTTAAGCAAAAATATATGCAAAAGATATCACTTTGCAAAAGCTATACATGCACAATATTATCTCCTCCCCCTTCCAATCCTACATCAGATTCCCAGCTTGATTGTATCTCAGTCCTTAGTTGATTGGATAGGTAAATGTAATATAGATCCTACTGTAATATCTAGCCATGCACCTATATAGTTGGAAGTTCATAATGATGCTCTTTTGAATAAAGTTTTTCTAACTTGCTTTCATACCTGTGATATAAAAGACTGAAAGATTCCACTGATTGTACAAGCTATCATCTGATTTCTTTTGGTAAACTGTAGGTTACTCAGGTAATTGAAAATGAAAATACTTCAAGACTAATCTGTGTACCCAGAGGAATTCCATCTTTAATGTACTTTAAGCAGTTTAATATTAAGAATGTTTAAGGGGAGGACTAACCTCTAGTTTTCTTTATCTAAATTATGGACATGATGAGAAGCTTTAACTTTCCAGACTTTCAACTTTATTACTGGGTATACATTTTGACCTCCATTTCTCTATGGAATCTAAGCAATCAAGACCCTTTTTATACAAAACTCTATTGTAACTCCAGCGTGAAAGCCTGCAAAGCAGATATGGAAGATCTTGGCATGGAATCACAATTTTGATCTTATTCATATGATAAATGTATGACACATGATAATGGCAGGGAACCCCCACCCCCCACCCCCTCTCTCTCTTTGAATCATGGGCTATTAACACTTTACGTCAACTTATTGCTAACCCAGTTGTTTAAAAGTCTGAGTTCCTGCAAAAGTAATTTCAATTAAAACTGTGGAATGACAGTGTATTCAATTAAAACATATTTTGATTTCACAATTTGGTCCAGATGCATTAGCTTCATGTAAAGCTCCTGATTTATTATCAATATGGAGCAGCATTTCGGATTATTCAAAATCTGCAGTATTTTTAACAGGCAATCAAGGAGCATCAGTTACATGCAAGGAATAGAACTGGAATACCCTATGTTAAAAATCTGTGATTAATGGTCCTAAAGAATATTAAATATCACGGAGTACAGGTTTTCAAAGCTACTTATTGCACCTATTTCTTCTTTGCCAATTTCAGTTTCAGATCTGCTTTGAAAAAGCTAGAAGCATGGCTAGAAAAATCTCAGCACATAATCATTGTCCCACATGGCATTACTCAGAAGTCATTTCATCAATCTTAAGCTAATATTAATTCAACAGAAGTTTCTTAACATGCTTACAGCACACCCCAGAGCATGTTTAAAAAGGGTTGGCCGTTGATTTCATTATCTTGGATACTCCGGTTTCTCTTCAGATCCTATAAATTATATCTTTACTGACATAAGGGAAAAACTGATCAATATCCAATCTGATCAAGGTCTGATGTTTAAAAACAGAATTTCTTTCTTCTTTTTTCCCTTTGTTTGTATTTTTCTTCTTTTTCTTTTTGTAAACTAAAGCAACAGGAAATAAAGAGATTCATCATTTTTTATGGTTGATATAGTGCTGTTCTTCTTTCCCAAAGTCACTTTCTGATAACTTAACATATCACAGCAAGCTTCTGAGATCTATATTAATATTCCCATCCTTTATGAATAATGAATTTTTATTTTATATCTAAGACTCCTCTGCATGTACTAATCTCTTGGAAAAACTCAGGGGCGGGGAGATGTTTTTCATCAGCTTAATCTCAATGGAAGAAAATTCAGGGATTAAAGACTATTTGCTTTAAGAATAAAGCTAACAGTTGGGAGAGATGCGTAAGAACTAGGCTATGCAGCCTTTTCCATATTATTTCATCTTTCCTTTTGATAATTATACCACTTCCCTCTCTATCACCACCACCCTCCATTCTTCCTGGTTTCCAAAGTAAACATTTAATGTGAATCAAAGAGAGAAAAATGTTTTTGTTGCTTGTCTGTGGGACCTACCTGTGAATACCTTCTTGTCCCTATTGTGAGTGCTCTGAATCACTGTTTGTGGTAAAGCTCTATTGATAATAAGATGTTTTGCAAATATGAATGTCTAAGCAGAATATTTGATTTTAAAACAGCAGCAGAAAGCTAAAGTAGAAAGAAAACAGAGACGTGCTATAAATGTAAACATTTCAGACCATTAATTTTAAAACAAGTTTGGAAACTGAAGCCTCAAATATAACCTATTCCACAAATCTGCAAATAGAACTTGATAGCAGAGTTTAAGTGAAAGGGATGGTCAGAAACTGTAAACCTTACCAATTCCATAACCTTGCTCACAATTGTATTCCACTGAATTAAGTTCCTGCGGTGGTGCACACTCTCCTTGCAGTTCTTCACATAAGTTAAATTCCTTGGTCCACAAGCCATCTTTAGTGCAAAGGATTGGAAGCTGAAGCATAAAAGAACCAGGTTAATTCATGAACTCCCTGGTATTTAAAGTCCCTCTTTGTTACCAAGTTCGCTCTAGTCAACGTCACCCAAGTTTTAATTGCCCAAATATGGCTTTTATAAAATTGGTACAAATGCTCTACTGTGATTGTGATTTGTCAGTATTTTTATTGGTACTATTGTTGCCCATTTGGTAGAAAATCCATTAAATGCTATGTACTAGTTTTGTAGGTTTTATGGGGAAAATCCTTAGAATTGATATTAATCAGTTTTCAATCTCAAAAATCTAAAGTAAGATTTTTGGGCAGGTGGTAGGTATTCTTCAGTCTTCCGACACACACACTGATGTAATCCATGGCATTTTAACATGTATTATAAATTCAGAATCAAGGAAAGTAAATACAGGTAGTCCTCGTTTAGTGACCACAATTGGGACTGGTAACTCCATCACTAAGTGAAATGGTCGCTAAGTGGGAAATCACATGACCATGACTGTGCTTTCCTTTTCCCTACTCCCCCCACCCTTTGGAATGTTCACCCCAGCGCTGGGATAATTAGCAAGAAGGGAATTAATGTTTGTATTGATATTCATTGGAGAGGAAGGGATTACAAAGAGTAAGCAGGCACACAATGGGGAATACACATTGAAAGTAATGTGCTGGCACTGGCAGCTGTGAGCACGCTACACAAACAGTTC